TTCGGTGTCTTTGGTCGATCATCACAACCTTCACTGCTAATATAGACATCTATACCAGGAGCCGCAACAGATGCTGCAACAAACCGAACAATTCGTTTAGTCACAACCATCAATCAAAATAAAGGAAAATATCACAATAAGAACTCAGAGTAGACTTCCCGTTACACGGGAAAAATGGGATTGACGATGACGCGGTTGGTTTTTATCTTTCTACGATATGATTGGTTGAGACCGTAAGGTTCAGGCATTCTACAACAATACACAAACCAAAGCAATTTTGGATGGCTTTCGATGTTCAAATAAAAATGGCTTCATTACATGCAGCAACAATAGCAAATAGGAATTACTGAAAGTGAAGAGTCTTTTCACGCAAACTCAAACTCTTGTGTCAATTCTTGAAACATCCTTGGTGTAGTTGCGACCGCAATGTGCTAAGAACAACAGTAATACATGGAAAGGCCTGTACGAAAACCTGTCAAGAACTCGGAAATTCTATCAAATTACATATTGGTAAACTGTGATTAAAAATTGCCTGATAAGGAGGAGGAATGTTTTGACCCTAAAAAAAACCGTTTTTTTTTTTTGTGCCGACACATCTTGCCATGAGTTTGCCAAAAGCAAACGTTGATGCAGGGTGGAAGCTGTTATCAAACTCTGCTTTAGTGCAAGGCAATATGATAACGAGCGATTATGTTCCAAGACTAAGAACAAATGAACAAACACAGCAAAATTAATCTAAACACACGCACACAATGAATTACTCAAAAGATAGCCCACTTCCTCTTATCCCCTCCATCTGTTCTCCCTCCTTTCGAAACTAGTTGGAAACGCTTTGGAGGGTTATTTGAGAAATAAAGTTGATTAAGTTATTTGGATGAATAATTGATCCTCGCTTTTGCACAAGACGTAACAGGAAAATCCATAGATGTGTTTGGGCTTGGCCAGAAGTCAGCGTTGTTCAGATTCCGTTGTATAAAAGTTAACAAGAATAATGTCTGCGCCCAGCCTTCAGATTTAGGTTTCTCTTTCCGTTATAGTCTATCAGAGAATAGGAAATTCCCTTCTAGAGTATGACTTGAACTCTTTTGCACAGAAAAGAATGAGAGAGCTATAGAAGTATCTGAGAGAGCTTTTGATGTTACAAAATTTGTCACGGAGCAGTGAAAAAATCTTGCACCGAGTTTGTTTTAGAAATGCCATAGAAACACTTCTTGACCTAATACATTCCATCTGGCCTCTGAATCTCAAGAAAGCGTGATGAAATTTAGTTCTTGGAGAATCAGTTGCAAGAGTAAGGGATTATTTCGTATGTTATAAACAACATTCCATTGGAAAGGTATTCGATTCATAGTGTTCATTGACCCTGCTAAATCCTCACCTGAAGATAAGAAACTGTTAAGCAGAACAATCAGGGCTAAAGTTGTCCACATCGACATCCTGAATCCCTCTTTGAAGATGTTACCAGACAGACGATCCGTAAAAATGAAATGCTTTTGCCCAAATCAGCTTTTTCTAAAGTTAATTTGTCATCACCCGAGGTCAAATCGTGATGCACGCTCGAGACAGATGTCAAATGGTCAATTTTGCGTGCTTGTATTTTTCACAGGAAGTTTCTAAGAATATTTTCAGTTTCTAATAACAACGTTTTCGCCGTTCATAACTGAAAAGGCCCAACGGCGCATTCAAGTTTCAAGCTAAAGTCGAAATTGAATGTTATTATCCATCCTGAATTTGTCAGACCCATTAAAGGACGTTAGAGGGTGAAACAAATGGCTGTGACATTTAATCAACAAGATACGCGGTAAGGATATCCTGTCTGATTATGGAAGTTCATGTGTTTCATCGAGATATCTGTGTCATAAAAATAAATATCATTTGACGCGAGCCGAACCTATATCGATAGTACCGGTCAGCGTTTGTTACGTGGGACGCTTGTGGCAGTCCACGTTTAGGATTGCTCTCCGTTTCGTTTTCAACTTTAGAGTAAATAGACAGTTTTTGATTTCACCATGATGTGTTGCTATTTGTTTTTGAAATGTTTGAAGTGCTCGACTTTAGCAAACGACTTTAGCTTCTGGTGTACAGCGCATTTTCACGTTCAGTCGCTTACTAGTAATTGTGCAAAAGAGTCTTCATGTGCTTAAGATCAGGAAAGTTTATTAATGAGTATATAAATTTTTTTTATTTTCTGAAGCCACGGTATTGCTATTTTAATGCTAACTAATTCATCGAATCAGAGATCTAACTGTCCATCAAGTCAAACATTTTGATGCGGATATGCTCTGAGCACAGAATGACGTCATTCTGACTGCGTCACAGTCTCTCCGTCTTAGTCCAACATCAGCGCTGATATAAATATCATCCGAATACGGTAAGGTAACGCAGGCGTTCATGAAACTAATTTGCAGAAATTCATCTCAACCCGAAACGAAAAAACGAAAACAGCATCTGAGTATTTCTACTGCTAATTTTAAATAAAAATACTCTTTAATGTTCCATTCAGTCATCAAACTAAAACACCGAATAGATTATTGAAATCACTACGTTGGTGACAATGTATGGAAATAATAAAAAAATTATATTAGTGGCATTAGAAAGAAAATTTCAATTGAGCGCCGAAAGTAACCCAAGATTGCATTGGTTTTGCTTTACTTTGCCCTGAGATTGTTCCACTCTGCCTCTACGTTTAGTAAAAGGAATTGGAAAATAATGATAATTTTAAAAAAAAACTATTAAACAATCAAACCTACAGAATCATACCGAAGTCATACAGGTGAATTCGAAAAAAGAAACATGCATGGTATTGAATAATTTTCCATCCATTCCTCAAACAAATTCCTAGGATCTGGATTAATTTAATCACCATCCTAATTACGAACTTGTTTTTTTTCATAAGCGGAATAGGTTTCTATGTATCCCTATTTAACTTATAGAGCAAGAAGGTCTTCTCTTTATTTCATGACTTCTGAACAGAACTTAGCAAGTGTGAGCCAGTCTTGGTTTAAACTTTCCCACTCGGCCTCTGACTCTAAGCATAAAAATATTAAAAAAATAGATACATTGTGTTATTTCCCCAATAAGCATAATGTTGAGAGTGAAAATTTACAGTACCTATAGTTAAGAAGATTGTCTATTACCAATAGTATCTGTTTGAGTGGACAATGCCTCAAACAGAGAAAGGAGACACATTACATACATACATAATACTTTATTGCATAGCTCCCCCTTGGGGGCTCTTCTGCCATACATGAATGTTAAAATATCAAGTTACAGAGAAAAAAGGAAAAAGAGAAAACAATACTTCATTAGTAAAAACTCAATATGACGATTCTTCCTTTAACAAATTTAAGAATGAAAGGGCTCAATATGTGGAGGTATTGGAGAGTGAAATTCAAAGGTAATTTAATTTACAGCTCTTACAGTAATATAATGGGTCAGCTGTAATCAAAAGATTACAAACCTTCCAACGACTCGACCTGCTGCAACTCACGCTCTATCTTGGAACAGACTTCCTTCAAAGATGATAGCTCAGCTTGAACTAGTTTCGATTCTTCGTCAATATATCTGGCTGAATCTGTGAGCAAGGCAAGTGAATAGATGATGTTGAAGAGCTGGAATGTCTATAACTGCAATATAGGCAAAGACATTTAATTTAAGCAATAAATTATTAGTTGCATAATTTATGAACTAAATATGATGATAGCTAAAATGTTGTAATCAGGTAAAAATTCTTATTAACACACAAAGTAATCTGGAGTCCAAATTAACATTTTTCTCATTGAACTACAGTTGTGTTCTCCCATTTTTGATGTGGTCTCTCATGTTTGTTTAACAGGATAAAATTGTTTAATTGAACAGAATGACATAATAAAGACGACTTAGAAAAAAACAGGAAGTATGAGACCCTGGCCCTCTTGGGTAACGAGCTGATTGGCAATTGAACTCAAACAGTATAACTTACTGGAATTTTCACATTTGAGGATTGGCTTCACAGGAACAGTAGAGCCTATAATGTCAGGATTCTCTAAGTCTGCAAGTCTTTCCTTCTTGGTGCATCTGTACACCTCATTTGGAGGAGAGAAAGTTGGGGCACAGAATAGTAGAGACTTTCCCCTGTTTGCTTTTTCAACCAGTCTAACTTTGCTTCTACCATTGGAATCCACCTCAGGTTCATTGCACTGATAGGGGCTTGCAGCTTGTGCTTCATTTTTTCTGGCTTCCTTTGCAGTGGTTTCTGTAGCCCTAGAACTGGTACCATTGCTATTGGCAGCTTCCTTTGTGGATTTGTGATTCTGTACTTTCATGGCTGATTTCTTTCTTATCATTTCCTCACTGGCCTCCTTCATTATTTCATCCCATTTTTCTTCATCTGAGCCTCTGTACCAAGAAAACCAATCATTTTATTCCTTCTTTGTTTCAAATTCATAAGGGTTAAGTTAATGAACTTATTTTCAACTTTATATTACACGAAAAAATTAACACTTTAAGTAAGCTTGTGTCGTCCGCTTGGAGACACCTAACATTTTCAAAAGTTTAGGTGAAATTTTACTCTTTCAGTTTTTTAACAAACCATGTAGAGTGAATGAAAGAATTAAGAAGACCCTCTAATGTAGAAAAGTGCAAAGTGCATGCTCACATTGTACATCAATATTATAGCGACGCTTGATCGCCGCTAGCTGGACCGTACGAATCTCACTGATCGACACAACAAATATCGCCCCAATTTCTTTCATGGAACGCCTCCTTTATTAAATGTCGTATTTGACCGTGAAGCTAAAAATAATTGATTCACAAAATTAGGGACAAGAAATTAGCTATAGAAACACTCGAGGTAAATTAAACTTACATTGTTGCCGGATCTGGCGAGAGTTGACACAAAAAGACCTTTCCTTCCTTCGAGAAAAACGACAGACAATTTCTTTCTATTAAACCACGAGTGCTTGCGAAATCGATCGAATTATTGAATTGCACAATAGATCCGTTCTGTTTGGAAATGCGATACCACTTACGGAACGCGTGACGAGGCACCTAGTGTGACTTTTACAGATTATTAATTAAACCATTACTAAATCAAAACAAGGGATAAACCCGTGCCTTAGGGGCACTTACAAATATATTCCAATTTTGTTCTTCATATTGTCATGTTGTACTCAGAGCTCTAAAAATACAAAGACAAGTGTTATTGAAATGATTGACTTGACTCATGAAGATAAAGGTTTCTCCAGACTGTGTATAGTTGTAGTAAGACAGCTAAGTAGGAGCAAATTAAGCTGTTGAATGGAGTCTAGAGTTAAACCTTTTATTGAGCTGCACTGTATTAAAAATGCATTAAGCAGTCAGTAATGTCAAAGTCCCAAATTTTTTTTCCCTAAAATACTATAAATTTCACCTCTACCAGGTGATCACCTCTAATAGATGGTCTTGCAAGTCACCCTTTACATCATCCCAACAGTCTGTTTCTACTGTCTTCAACCTGTATTGAAGGATCACTCAAAGCTGATCCACTCAAATAAAACTAAAACTAATCCACAAAATAATTCAACTAAACTTTTGTCCATGTTTATCTTTGCATAGAAATGTAAGTACTTGAGTTCAGATGTCCTCAACCCATTGCAGATTATGTTTCTCCTGTAGACTGTTAAGTCAAATATTATATATGAACATCACACAAGTTATTTGCTGGTCAACCTGTATAAACCCTTTAATTGCCATGAGTGACCAAGAAAGAATTTCTCCTCACAATATAAATGCAATATCAAGCAGACAAGTCATGTGAATAAAGAAAATTATCAATTAGAGGATAATTAATTGATTCAATACTACATTCTCTGAACTAACATTATAAGAATTGTATGGTTGACAGTAAAGAGAATTAAAAATTTGATCTGGAAGATAAAGGGTCAGGCAGTCAGCCAACATCTATAAAGTGGTTATCCTGTCATTCCTCCAGGGTGACCACCTAACACAGGTTCAACTGCACTTTAATCTGAGCATGCAATACTTAATTAAAAGGCTAAATAATGATACTTTTGGCTAAAACAACATAATGTGTTATTTTGCTTTCTTTCAATTGCATTTCTTCTTTGTTACCACTTTGCACCCTAACTTCAATATGCATATTCTCTATACTGTTCTCTATACCTTTCCTAATGTGCTGACAAGGAGAATTTGAGTAACAATCTAGAGCTTCTTTAGTTGATGATCATTTCCTTTATTCTCATGACCTTAATATCCCTTGCAAACCAAATTCCCAGTTTTCTGGGTTAATTACCTTTGTGCTGTATTTTGCCTTCTTTTTCTTCCAAAAACTCGCAAGTTTGTGAGGTCGCCTAATTGTGAGAACGATCTAAGATTAGCAAAGTAATCAATGGAGAAAAGTTGACATGAATACAAGGTTTCTTCAATGTAACATGTAGTGCAGCTTATGAAAAACTCATCAGATAGTTACAAACCGGGCAACAAAATTTCTACATGGATTTGTGCAAACCAATTTAACGATAAGGACGCACTTTCATCTTTTGTTGTTTTGGAATACAAGGGGAGGCCATTTACTTTGTTAACAAAATGTTAAAAAAAACCCTACCCTGGCTAGGTGGTAAGTGTATGATAAACGAGCCTTACACTTCATTTTCACCCTCTACCGTGTCTTGCAACTTCATGAGGTAAACTATTTTCCATCTGATACACGACCGTTTGTGTTCTAGCAGGTAATTTATTGTTAACAACTGGGTTGAAAACGTAAATTAGCCACCGTAAAGGGTAAAACACATCGCGAAGGTGTTCTCGGAATCGGTTGACCGATTCCGAGAACACCTTCGCGATGTGGAAAGAAATGACAAGGACGCATCCAAACCAGTCGCTAGACACTTTAATCTTCCTTATCATTCTAAACAGCATATGGAAGTTTGCGGCCTTTCCTTACATCTAGGCAGTTCGGAAAGCCGTAAAACACTAGAACAAAAATTTATATTCCAAATCGGCACCCTAATCCCCACGGAATCAACGAGCGCTTTTCATTCAACTAATTTATTCCTGTTTTCTCGTCACCATATTCCCACCAATGGCGTGGCTCCACTTTCTGCATATAAATCCACACACAACCCACAATTCCTCTAATCGCTCTGACGAAGGGCTAACGCTCGAAACGTCAGCTTTTTTACCCTTTACGGTGGCTAATTTACGTTTTCAACCCAGTTGTTAACACTAAATTACTTGCTATACTCTCCCACCGACGCAGCACCACAGTTTCTTTAGAAACTTACCCCTTTATTCGTTTGTGTTCTAGTCTCAGCTGTATTCAACAGCCAATATCGGGGTCAACTCAGTTTGTAACTCAACAGCAAAAGAAGTCCTACGCGCATGTTCTGGATTTTTTTAATACCGGAAGCAAACTTGGGTTGGGGTTAGCCTTGATGGTAGCCTTCACGACAAAACTCTTTGCGACAATTAAAGTGCGATAAATTTATTTATATAAATATTTTTATAAAAATAAAAACATCCAAATCTTTTATGAGCTCTCTCAAAACTTAAACGT